AGTTCAGTGCCAGCCCCAGCTTTCCGAGGGCCCTGGGCAAGGAACCTTCAGTGGGCCCTGTGCTCACCTCCTCACATGGCTATAACCCCTCGTCTGCTTTCTCGCCGTTTCCTCCCGAGAGCAGAGAGCAAGCAGGCGGTGGCAGCCCTTGTCCTTCCTTTTCTGCCTTGTGGCTGCCTGGGCTGAAGCAAGACGCAGGTGAGCAAGCAGGCTGTGATGGGGAAGAGGAGGAGCAACCTGGGGGGCGGGCTTGGTCAGGTGCCCTGGTGGGGCCACAGACCCCTCTTGTGGGTGCCCAACCTTGCCTGCCCTTGACACCAGCCCCGAACATGTGAAGCCTGTATATTTTCTCCCTGTTGATCAGGTTCAGGCGGGTGATGTGGGACCAGGAAATGTCACAAGACCCCCCTTCGCACAGCACCTGCCTGCCTGAGGTGCGGACTGCAGCTGCCCTTAGCCCCAGCCAGGCAGCATGGCTCCTGGCCAGGACTGATGTGAGTTGTAGTCCAAACAACTGGAGGACAGCAGGTTGGGGAAGGCTGCAGGTTGGGGAAGGCTGCCTTCCTGCCAACTTCTCTACTTGCTGCTCCCGCTTTTCCGAAGAGACAAAACCAGAAGCTTAGTGGGAACCCCAGTAGTTCTTTTCAATGTCAGGGCTCAGATCTGGGAATTATCTTAAACTGAGTCAGGAGTTCGGCCTGTCTAACACAATGAAGTCCACAGCAACCATCACTTTCCCAGCTGATCTAGAAATGCCCAGAATCAACCACAGGATCTTGTGCATGCACAGTCCTGAAATATATGAAATAGGAGCAAAGTACCCCTGAGCAGGTGTAGAGTGCTTTTCCCCTTTGAATAATAGCAGAGAGACCATGTATGTCAGTAAATTTGGAGGAAAGGGGTGGCAGGGCAGAGATTGGAGCTTCCCAGCAGCCCTGAACTCTGACACCTCTTTTCCTAGAATCTATTAACACACAACACAGAGAGCTGGTTCACACATGCATGTTCACCCTGAGAGATGGCTGCAGCTTGGCCCAATGAGTTGCATGTGTGAATGGCACTTCAAGGACAAAAACTATACATTGTATCTGGGCTGCAATCCCATACACCAGGGTATAGGATTGACCCACAGGCCATATGGGGCGCTGTGCTTTCAGGTGCCCTACCCACTTTTCCAGCACTGTATTAGAAGGCCAAAACAAAAAGTACAGCATTACAGGAGGAGAAGCCAAGCTTCTGCCAGCAGCACCAAAGCTGCCAATATTGTGGCTTTCCAATACTGAAGTACATGAAAGAGCTTGGACAGATTGCTGGGCAGATTCTGTCCAGAATGCGCTCACGGAGAACCGTTGTCTCAGCAATATGCAGAGGCCTTCTGATGAAGGCTGCCTGGGTTGGACCTCCTGTTAACCCACCCATGCCAAGGAGCTGGCTTCCTTTCCTGAAAGGCCAGTTGAGCAGCCTCTGGGAGTCAAACAAATCCAGGCTTGAATATTTTCTGGTCAGCTAGACCTCATGGGAAAACAGTGTGTATATGCTGAGGAGACAATCACTACACATCCTTCAGAAGACTAAGGAGATGGCATATCACACCTATCTTATATTGTATAAGCCGTCCTGAGCACTTGTCAGAAGGATGGGATATAAATGCTTGTAATAAAATAAATAATAAATAAATAACCCTGAAAGGAAGTGAGGAGCAGTGGTTAGAGCATTATACTGGAGGACCTGGGCGATTTGAGTTCTAGTTCCCACTTGGCCATGAAACTCACTGGTTTACTTTGGGACAGTCACTCACCCTCAGTGTAACCTACCTCACAGGGTTGTTGTTGTGAAGGTAAATGTAAGCACTATTCAAGCCACCTTTGGTTCCCCACAGGTCTGTGCTTGTTATAACTCATGCATTTGTTGTGTTACACAGGAAAAAGGAAGAAATAAATAGAAAACACAGGAGGGTTCTGAGTGGATGACAAAAGAATTTAGTGAAGGAGGTAGAAGAGTGATATGAGAAAAGCATCTGAAACGCTACATATGGAGAAAGAGGCTGGGAATGAGTTTTGGTAAGCTGAATGCATTTTGCCTAACTCTGGAGGTTAGATTTGGGTATTTGTTGAAGTTTTATGATATTTGCCCTCCCTCTCTTCATTCAGAAAAAAAAAAAAAATCAAACCTGGGTATATGCTGCTTTGTCAGTAAAGTTCCCATTGTTTAGGAAATTGGGTAATAAAATATTTTGAAGCTGTCTGGTTGTCAGGGCAACATCTGGCCAGAAGGGGGCAGCAGCTTCCAATATTAATTTTTAAAACTTGACTGACCTCTTTCCCCCAACAAGGATAGGGGAAACGTCTCTCATTGAATTTCTGTTTATACAGTTGGTAAAGTCATTTAGTTACTTAATTTCTATCCTGCCTTTTCCACCAAACAGAGCACTCAAGGCGGCTAAAAATAATAAAATGCAGACTAAATGGCAAACCTTAACCAAGCATAAAACCAGATTAAAATCACAACAATAAAAGAAATAAATAGGATTCAACCATTTATTTATTTATTGGATTTCTATCCCAGCCCTTCAGCCAAATCGGCTCTCAGGGTGGGTTACAAAGTGTTACCATCTTTGGTGATAGACTAGTTTGCATGTCAGATTTGTGCCTGAATAAAACACTGGCAGGACAGTAAAGACGGAGCCAACCCAGAGTGCCTTGGAATGGAATCTCAGAACTGGGGCGCGGCCACCAGGAAGGCCTCCTTCCGATTCCCCCAGAAGGGGCAGGGCTGAGCAACAGCCTGCTTCCAAAGATCTGAAGAGCAAGGCAGACCTGCATGGGAGAAAGCAGTCCTTCGATTAGCCTGGTCCCAAGCCATGCAGAGCCAGTGTGGTGTAGTGGTTAAGAGCATGGGGCTGGGACTCAGAGGATCTGGGTTCGAGTCCCCGCTCAGCCATGGAGCCAACTGGGTGACTTTGGGCCAGTCACAGACTCTCAGCCCAGTCTACCTCACAGGGTTGTTGTTGTGGGGATAAGATGGAGGAGGAGATGTAAGCTGCCTTTTTCCTACGAAGGGCTCAAGGCAGCT